GCTGGAAGGATGGAGTTGCCATTGTGGGCAAAGGTTTAAGGGAGAAGAAACTTTCAGTTTCTGACATGCTGAGTCTTAAATGTCTGTCAGATATCCAAGTGGAGATATTGTTGCCAATATGCATCTAGACTTCAGGAATGAGATCTGGGAGAGGGATGTAAATTTGTTTGTCTTTGACATATGCATGATACTCAAAGCCATGACACCTGTTGTTGGGTGTCTAGGCAACCCCAACCTGGGACAGTGGTCAGCAAGGGAGATGGTGCTGAAGAAATCACAAAACTTACACCAAACTTAGTGCATAAAATTGAAAGCCTGTAAGGGCATACACTGTTCCACGTGCCTGGTGGCATCATGAAAACAATATAGCACTTGTGTTGTTTCCCGGAATCCTTTTATTGGGCATATAACAGAGTATATGTGCAAGAATGCATAGTAGTCAGTAGACAGCAGTCAAGATTAAGAAAAAGAGAGGGGAGATTACAGCTCCCAGGAATGTTGAGTAAAGGGTAAGCAAAGATATAGGGTAGTGGAGCATCTGAAGTAGCCAAATACTGGTGCAACTGGAAGGGGTAGGAGAGCAAGTCTCATCTCCTCAGGCAGACATCTCAGCTTCTCTAGCCCAACCTACTGGCTGATGGCCTCATCTACCTGCACTGCTGATTTCCCCATGCAGGTATAGTCACACAGACTTTCCCCTCAATGGGCACTTTACCCTGGTTTGGAAGGTCTGTGAGGAATTCAGCCTGTCTACCTCCCACACTGTTGAAATGAACACTGGTTGCTGACTCTCTGTGTGCTTTGGGTCTTGCATCAAGACTTGGCCCACTGTCCCAGAAAAGGGCAGAGGTAGACCTCTGGTGACTCAGATGGTTTGCGTGCTGAATGTGGTTGACAGGTGGTGCCCCGAGGAGCAGGATGCATGCCTTCACTGAGCGTACACAGTCGGATGAGTGAGCTGAGTGTGCACAAGCTTAGACACTGTTACTATGACTCCACATAGGTTTAGAAAAATTATTATTTGACTTTAACTTTTCTCCTTTTTTAGGCTGTATGGGAGAAGATGAGAAACTCCTAAATTCTTCTTCATCTTCAATTGTATTTTATTGGATTAAAAATTTGTAGTTATGGAAAGAGCCTGCCTTCCTTCTTTTTCTCCCTCCCTCCCTCCCTCCCTCCCTTCCTCCCCTCCTCCCTTCCTTCCTTCCTTCTCATTTTGGCTATTCTGCCTGTGAGGCTATTAGAATCCTACAGTTTGACCCTAAATAAAACCAATCATTTGTAAAAAAAAAAGGGATAGTAATAGATATTAGAAGTGATATGTTGATTGATTATTTAATCTCCACTTAATTACAGATGATGCTGGCTGAATATCAGAGAGTGAAGTCAAAAATGCCTCCTGTCATTGAGCAACTGATGATCCCTCATTTGGCCAAAGTCCATGAAGCTCTTCAACCTGGCTTGGCTGCACTGACATGGACATCACTGAATATCGAGACGTATTTGGAAAACACTTTTGCAAAGATCAGTAAGTCTAAATGGTTACTATTTCTCAATTTGAAAGACTGAGTTCTTAAAATCTGGTGTGCAATATCTTACCAAAATGGTGGTATAAATCATGAGATGAGGAGTATCATTCTTAAGCATTTCATAAGGAATTATTACAAGTATACGAATTTGGTAATTTCCTGGAAACCATAAATATTCACTATTTAATTTTATCCCTAGAGATTAATCACACATTTTTAATTCATTTTATTTTTAGACATTAGGATTTAAAGGCTCTTTAGAGTTAGTCAACTTTTTATACAAATAGATGAGTGTATTTTGAGACCCTGATCTGAAAGATGTAAACATTTGGATAGACTGCTGAACAACAGGATAAATGGCAAAAATTTGAACAAACACTATTTTTCCTTAGTGAGGGACATAATACTCTTTAAAATACATATAAGGTAGTATAATCCATAAATGTGATTTTTCCAGAATGTAGACATGTATACTACAAAGCAGGGACTCATATACATCTGGGAGATTCAGAGTAAGCAGGGGGACAGTTTTCTTTTCTGAAAGGCTTTTCAGAGCCTTTAATATGCCAGTGTCCAATGAGTCTCCAAGTGTGGGCTCTTGCATGTGGCATTTCTCAGAATTCCTTGGCTGTTTTTCTGGATGAACATATTAATCCCCAACACATCTTCTGTGGCAGGCAGTAGGACGCAGTTTAGAGCATGGTAATGGAGGTTTTTTCCCCCAGAAAGACAGACATTAGGATTTTCCTCTCCTACCTAGTCCTCTATACTACTGTTTTTCAACCTTTTTTTATCTCATAACACACTTGAACCAATAGTTGAACTTCTGTAGAACACTTAAATTATGTTGATCAAAGAAAGAGTTAAAAAAATAGAATGTATTTACTGTGCTTTGAACGTCTTTCAAGAGTAATGTAATCAATGGTCTTTAAAAATGTTCATAGTCTCCCTAAGATCCCTGCACGGCAGGCTAGCTGAAAATCACTGCTCTAAACCTTCTCTTCTGTGTACGCCCTATTCCCAGGAAGCCTCTGGGAGCTGGACAGGCTAACGAAGGAATTCTCCCCTGGAGCCTCCAGAAGCAACTGATCCATGCTGATCACTCTGCCGCCTGTGAACACTTCCTCTGTGACTTCCTATTGTGTTTACAGTTAGGACAGAGACGCTCCCTTTTGGTTGTCTTCCAGAGATTTAATGCATTTTATCTTTCTCCCCAAACTGACTGCAAAGAGCTTGAAACTCAGGCTGTTTCTTATACTTCTTTGTGTAACTCTCAGTTAGGTGTATAGCAGACTTCTGTACATTTACAGATTCGTGACTGCAATATTTTTATACACTTATAGTCTCTTTCCATTTCTTTACAATCTCGACTCCATCCCCATCCCTCCATCCCATCAGCTCATTTCTGCATTACCCCTTCCGGGTCCTCCCGTCTCCATACCTCTGGTGATGCTTCCTTTTATCCACTTTCTCTTTCTTTAGTAGGCTTTTCTCTTGCTCTGGTATTTATGGCTGCTGAAGTAGCACCTAGTCTATTTACATCTAAATTGTCCAGAGCTTGTTGTATCAGTAGGTTTTCACTGGACCTTCCAAATAATGCAGGGCTCAGAAGCATCCAGGCATTTCTTTACAATCTTAACACCTGGGTGAGGTTACGATGGTAAAAAAATGGAAAGAGATATATAACCAGGTGCTTTATATTGTAGAATACTTGAGAAGCACTAGTTTGAGGGTGAGTAAAGTGAAAAAGTATGGTTGAACTCCCTAGCTTCACCCTCTTTGTTTGCTTTCTAGATTGAGAGCTGTACTCCAAGAAAGATTATAAAGGAGATTTTGAACGTGGCTGGATATTAAGCCAGAGATGCTTAATGGTGTCTAATGTTACATAGATGTAATCAATAAAGATAAGTTAAGAATGCAGTTTCTTAGCTCTAAATTAATATTCTTCCAAAAATACATCTCCCCGGGAAATAAAGCAAGAGGAAATTGGCTAAAATTCTCTAAAGAGACATTTATAAAATGTATAAAAACTTCATAATAAGAGTTATCACAACCCAATTAGAATAGGCTACCCAGGTGGCATTTAGTAATATTCTCCCTAGGGAATATTAGGATTAGAGTGTTAACAATTTGGATGTTTTATTGGCATGTTAGAGACGAGGAAATAGTTTGTTCTTAGTTCTTGTATTCTATTATGTTTTTCTTTCTGTAATTTAAATTAAGGAGCTAAAGTAGAACAAAGATTAAGTTTCTTTGAGAGGCAAACTATGCTAAATCTAAAGAACAGTTGGATTCTTCATTGGATTAGTGAGCTGACACTTCTACTTATAGGAGGCCATGCGTATCATGCATTTAAGAGAGTATCAACTGCTCTTTAAATTAACAAACAGGACTTCTGCAGACGTGAGTTTGTACAATCTATGCATAAATGTTGTGCTAGTTTTTCTTATTGTTGCTAAGAATTTGCCACAGACTTAGTGGTTTAAATTATGAAGGTCAGAAGGGATGGTTGCTTCTGGAGGCTCCGGGGGAGAATTCCTTCTTTAGCCTGTCCAGCTCCCAGAGGCTGCCTACATCTGTTGACTCATATTTGCTCCATCTTTGATGCTACCAGCATAGCATCTTCAAATCTCTTTCTCTTGGCTCCTTTGCTGCCATGGTCATATCGTCTTCTGTCTGACCCCGACCCTTCTGCCTCCTTATTATAAGAACCCTTATGACTACATTGGCCCTGACCTGGATAATTAATCTAGGACAGTCTTCACAAGATCCTTAACTTGATCACATCTGCAAAATCTCTTGTGCTGTATAAGGTCACATTCATAGATGTGGTTGTGGATATCCTTGGGCGCTAGTTTTTTCAGTTTGCTACACACGTCCTTGAATATGCTTTGAAGACTCAGTCAGAAGGAGTAAAGAATTTTATTGAGTACACATGCTTAAATAAATGTATTGGCTGTCATTTAGTAGTGAATAAGTTTACCAGGAATAACGATTTGGTATCTTGAGTAGTCCCTTTAATCATTAGGTTAGAAATGATTGAAAACTTTTTAGGATTATATTCTTTAGGAAGTAAAGATATTTACTTAAGGAAGTGTTTATGTCTCTGATACATTTTCTGTCATCAATCTCTTTTCCTAGGAGAAAGCAGTACTAGAAAAAGAGATTTTACTATGTGGTCTCTGTTGAAAAATGTATTACCCTTTAAATGGATATCCATTGGCTATTTCAAACAATTTGGTTACGATGTTTGCATTTGTTAGGGACAGTCCCTACTGTAATTGTGTTCTGCACCCAAGAGGTGTGCCATATACCCTTATGCTGTGGCCATTAAGGGGAAGCACCCCAATCCCTCTTCTTCGTCCTGCTTACTTTTGATGTAAAATTGTTGTTAGTGTCATTCAGAGTTGGCCTTTTCATCCATGGGGCTTACTGCTCAATTTATTTCAGCACAACTATAAAAAGGTACCCTATGATACTAACAGTAAAAGAAAAATTAGGGGAATTTTGCTTCTAAAATATTTGTTGAATAACTTCCTGTGGAATAGGCATGGGGTCAAATGTTGAAAACTGTAAGGATAAAAAAGATGAATTCCAGAAGGGGATAGAACACTGGGCAGACGATATGGTATTCGCAGGGCTGGAAGGAGGCCCTGGCTACTGTGGCCGTATGCAGATTCACAGGAAGCCTCCTGGGGCAGGAGCGCTGGTGCCAGTTCTCACACGGAGTCAGGGTTAGGCAGGCAGGGAGCTGGGGCGGTGGTCAAGGTAGGAACAACTGGAGATAACCACGTGTGAGTTAGCGGGACGTCTGGGGCAGGTAACTGAGAACTTTCAATCGGGATTTTGCTGCTGTCATTTAACCAAGTGCTGTTTTTTAAAAAACAAAATACTTAATCTCCTTTATTCACTTTTGTTTCTTCGAAAGAGGACCTGGAGCTGCTGCTTGACAGGGTCAACGACCTGATTGAGTTCCGCATCGAGGCCGTTCTGGAGGAGATGAGCCTCACGCCCCTCTGTCAGCTTCCCCGGGAGGAGCCACTTACCTGTGAAGAGTTTCTCCAGATAACGAAGGTTGTTAGGATATAGATATTTGTATTTAATTATTTTTGCCGTTCATTTTTCTATAAATGTCATTTTTTTTGAACACAAATTAGGATTTATTTCCCTCTACTTGTGATACCCTGTGATGGATGTGACTCGAACATGGATTCTTTTGACAATAATTTGAAAATGAAGAGAAATGTATCTAAGAAGTCACTTAGATGTGAAGAATAAATTGTTTCTTTTCAGATCAGTAGCAGAGAAATTGCTGTGGAATGTAGTTCTGAGTTTTCCATGTTTTATGAAGAATGGAGCTATTTTGCAGAAGAGCTTGTAGCAAGCTAGGGTTAATTAATGAAACAGTTGCTTTTTTAATAGCTTCTGGACGGGGTTTCTTCTTTAAACATTTCTGTAGAGCAACGCTTCCCAAACTGGTGTTCTGTGGTGCACAATTCTGGAGCCATAGCTAGGAATTCTGGGAAAGGGAAGGGACGTGTGCAAACTGCTTGGGGGGAAGACCAAAGGCTCTCAGAAGATCTCCATTTAATACACTGTACCCATTATTTCTCAAATGTATTTGTAAATGGGACATTTTCTTCCCTGTATATGCTGTATAAAGGTCTCTCCTCACCGCCTCCTGCATGTCACTTTGGCAGCATTTACAATATTCCTGATGGGCATGTTGTTGATAAGGATTCTTCAGTCATGATTTTCAATGTGGGATCTCTAAGACCACCCCCATTGGAACTCACGGAACTCGGCATGGAGTTGTCTTAAGCCTATGGCTTCTTGTATTTTGCTGTGTATAATGTGCCCACATTTTAGTGGCTGGCTCTTGGCCGGGCTAATGCTCCCCTGGTAAATGTGCAGATTGCACTGTAGCCCTGCAGCTGCCTGCCCTGGAAAGGCAGCCCCTTCCCTCTCTCCGGAGATGGTGGGCACGTGGCTGCAGGGGCGGCAGCTTCTGAGGCCACTTGGCCTGCAGGCAGCCAAGATAGTCCCTGGGGTCCATATAGGGCTTCTGGTCCATTCCAAATGTGGCTGGGCCTCAGGCCTTGCCCCTTGTCCTGCATGACCGTGGTCTGTCTCAGCATCCTTGTCACCATCCTCTTCCCTGGTAGAGCCCCTGATCTGCTCCCACCAGATCCTGGATCCTCCCTCACTGGAACTCTGTCTACACAACCCAGTTGGTCCATGTGGGAGGGCATAGCAGTCCCTGGAGCCCCACCAGGCTCAAGACCCAAAGTCAATTAATATAGTGTCAATTAGGAAGTCTTTATTAAAGAAAAGACCGAACGGCCAGCTGTTGCCCCAATGTGGAGAGCAGCCCAGTCCTCTGGTAGAGTTCAGCTTATATAATGTGGGCTGATGCAATCTTGAGTGAGTTTACATGATCAGAAAATTGCAGAGGCAGGTACAAATGCTTACAGGGTGTACAATAAAAATAATCACAGACATCTAGTCACAATGGTTTTAGCCATTCCTTCTAACAGTATCTTTCTAGTCACCATGTCTGGTTGCGCCTCTCAGTGTGGTGGGGGTGGCGGAGGGTAGATTGGGGAAGTGCGGACTAGTTTCTGTCGTTCAGACGTTTTCAGCACCACTTCCTGTGCTTCCCTCCCCCTTTTTTCTTCTGTCTCCTTTAACATTTCATCACACAGTAAACAGGTTATTATTATTTCTTACACACTTATACTTAATGTCTAAGGCTTTCTACCATTTATCATTTATTAATCTTTTTGTTATTTATTTTACCTACTCCTAAACTATTGCTTAGCCTTAGTAACTTCCCCAAACTACTGTTGAGCAGTCTCCCTCCCCCCTCCCACTACTGATTGTGTCTTGCTGACTGAGCAAGAATTTAAGGGTGAAGCAAAAAGGAAGGCAACAAAGGGGGGTGAGAGTGACAGGATTTTTATCCCATCTCAGTATGTAGCATAAACCACATTGTTTACATACCCAGTCTGGGCATCAAAAACCATCTTTCTCAGCTAACAGTGGGAACCCACCTGAAATCCAAGCTCCCAGATGCCAGCCCACGGCCAACCTCACAAGCAGGCCTGTCTAAAGACAGTAGTCTCAGGCCTGCTATGGTAAACCTTTTCTGCCTGTATGATAATCTTTGGATTATATTAAATTATTATTACATGTATGTAATCAAAACATACTGTCTGGACTTTAGAAACTTCCAGTTGCTCCTCCACTTTACACTTACTGTAGGTAGACTTAATCCCTTCTGCCATCCCTCATGATCATTTTAAAAATTATTTCTGCCTCTGAGGAATCACCTGGCTTCATAGTTTTATTATTACCCATATTTGATGACTGTTTTATAAAAGTGCATTTGTTTTATATTTAAAAAATTTTTATAAAATGGAAAAAATAGAATTCTTAAAATCACCTACACTACCATTAAAATTTTAATGTATTTTAGACCTTTTAATAAAATGTGATTCCTATATACATACAGCAGGTTTTGAAAGGATGTTTTTTCTCCATTTAATATTTCTTCACAAAATATTTTTCATATTGCTCTATGCCTTCACAGGAACGGCCCTAGTGATGCCTTCAGAATATTCTGTTGAGTTGATCTAATTTACCTACCAGGTTCTTACTGCTGAACATTCAGATAGTTTCCAAAGTTTTTCTATTTTGCCAAGAGCTGCAATGAATATATGTATGTATCATGGTTTGTTTTCCCTTTAAAATTATTTCTTCTCCCCACATGGGATTATTGTGTCAAAGTGTGTGGTCTTGTTTGATGGCTCTTGATATTTGTAGCCAAATTGCTTTTATAAAGGATGTTATCAACTTATAATGCCACTAGCAAAGCAAAAGTACCAGTTTCACTGGCTTCCAACAGAGCCAGATTTATTATACATTACTAATTTTAGTTTAAGTAGCAAAGTTGTAGAGCCCACCGTCAACTGGAGAATACAGAAAAGCAAAAATAGAAAAGCCAGCAAACAAACATGTCTGGTGGTGATAAGCTCAATGGAGAAAATTTAAGAAGATGATGGAGAAAAGAAGTACCTGGCAGAAAGTTGTGATTTTGTGTTGATGGTCGGGGATGGCGTTTGTGATTCTATGTGAACAAAGGCAGTGGGAGAGTAAGTGAGCCCCACGAACATCTCTGGGGAAGAGCATTCCAGGCCGAGGGAGCAGCAAGTGCAAAGGCCCTGAGGTACAAGTGTGCTGTAGCTGGAGAAAGGCATTGAGTTGAAGTACATCAAGTATGTTCAGATGCTGAGGCAGAAAATCAAGTGGAGAGGAAGCGAGGGGGTGGCTGGTAAGCGTGATGCCTGAGGAAGCAGGAGAAGTGGCTCAGAACTCAGGAGGTAGATTATTCTGGAATAAAAAGAGAGTGATTGCCTTCACTGAAACACGAGGAAAAGGGGTTCATGATGGAGGTCAGTTTGTTTTGTGGGTGAGGACGTGGGACTGAGGCACTGGGTCAGTCCCCAGTTTATGGCTTTGCAAGGGTCCCACCCTGGAGGCAGGGTCCTTTAAGACCTGTGAAGCTGGCAGTGATTGACTGAAGAAAAATAAAGTTAGAAGCGTGAGATAAAGAGGCAGGACGTGCAGAATAGAATTTTCAAAGATGGGAAACATGGGGGCCGTTGTGTTAGTGGGGCTCCAGCGAATGGCCCCGAGTGTTTGTTCCACTCAGCTTTTGTTGAAGGCTATTTCCTCATTAGCCCAGAGGGTAAGCTGAGGAAGGCAACAAAAATGTCAGCAGTTTCTCTGAGTACATGTGTCACCTCCTACTGTTTCTATAATCATTAACGTTAAGGGTCTGAGCAGTCTGAGAAAGCCAAAACCTGAGCCTTGTGTGGGGGCAGCCTCCTGTCCATGGTCACACACACAGATTCCCTGCATGGGGGGAGGGGAGTCTCCACTAGTTCACGGTGGAGTAAAATGCCACCATTGTCATTCTCCTCTGAAGAACCCGTGAGACAGAAGAATTTTCCTCTGACCTCCACCCAGAGGCATCTTCCTCTGTTGATTAAGGGATATAAGCTCTCCTATCCATATTTCAGGGCTGGAGCCAGTCCCTTCATCTCTGCCTTGGCCAAATACAAATCTCCACAATGGGTGGGTGTTTGGCTGTTGACAGGCAGGAGACGGCCTGGTTAATCGTTCTACTCAGGCCCTGGTTAATCTTTCTGCTCAGGCCTTGCACGCAGCTTCCTTGTGGCCCTTGTTTCTTCAGAGTGTTCACTGACCCAGCAGGGGTGTTTTTAAGCTGCGTCCCCTACAGGCCAGGCTTCTAGGAAAAGGAAGGAACTAGTCAGATAAGAAATTTAGTGACTGACCTGTTTTTATTCCACCTTGCTCAGCTTATTGCTCTGATTTCCTTTGTTCTGGGGATGTTTTCCCTTGCCACAAATGGGGTCTTTGTTCCCCATTCTGCCTGCAGGCTTTGTATGCCTTGTATAGTAAGAAAGAGTCAAGGCTGCTAGCTGAGTAGGATGAGGAAGGATGAGGAAGGATGGTGCAAATCTGAGCACATGGCTATTTGGGGGCCTGGGAGAGGAAAGTGACTATAGTCTTGTACAATGATTTCCGGGTAGTTTTGGGGGCCAGGTTGAGAATGGGGACCATGAATTCCAAGTTCCAAGCATCTGCATGACCATGGCCTGTGTGTGCCAGTGAGACAGGGAAGATTACCTGGTTCCTTAGGGTTAGACTTCTCTTAGGTGGGGCAGTGGAAGCCTGAGGGAATAAATGATATTGACAAAATAATGGTTGGAGTAAGAAATCGTCCTGTTGGGAGCAGGTGTGAACCAGGGGGTCTGGGTGAGTAGACCAGGAGAAAACATGGGGCCTAGTGGATTCCTGAAGCATCAAGGGAATGAGGAAATTTTGGATCTCCACACTGATGAGTCAGGGAGGAGACAACTCAGGATTGGAAGACAGACCCTTTGGGTGGGTTTCAACATCTGGTGCTATCGTGGGCAAGAATTATTGGAATGACACAGGGTGAGTGGAGGCGGTGTGTGTGATTTGCTTTGTTTGACATAGGGGATATTTAAATGAGTCTATTTGTTACTACTTTATTTATATTCTGCTTTATTTCTATGCTGCTTATATTTTTATGATTATGCTTTTTTTCTTAGAAAAATTAAGAGATTTAAACAATCCTGTTAGTACTACATTAACCTTCGAGAAGTTATTAACCACTTCTGCCATAACCTTCAATATAAAGGAATTTTGGGATTTCAAATGTGTATTTGTACTGCTGAGAGCACTGAAAGAATGGAGAGAAAGTTAATTGAGGATTCTCTGTGAAAGCTGGCCGTGGGGGTGAGAGATCACACCAGGGCTCACGTGTTTCTCTCCAAGGTAGAGTCAGAGGACTTAAGATTCAGATGTTAAAAAATATTGCTGATCTTTCAGAAAATGAAGACTTCATTCATCTAGAATGAGGTTAGTAGGATGGCAAATGTTTAGGTCCTGAGGTTGTATGTATGTTATTTGCTGGCCAGTCTTAGGACCAAGCACCTCTTATTTATTTAATCAGAGCCGGGCCCTTCTCTTAGCATTTTACATGCAGCATCTTATGGAATACTTGCAATGACCTAAGGAGGGTGGGTTCTATGATTTCTCACTCTTTTATAGATGGGGAAGTGGGGCTGAGAAGGATTTTCCAGGATAACAGAGAGCTAGGATTTGAATCCAGGAAATTTCGTTCCAGAGTTTGTGTTCGTTACGTGTAGGTGATGCCAACTCTACCCCATCTCTTACTCTCTACCCTATCCATCTCTTACTCTCTACCCTATC